ATACTTTCAAGAAGAAATCATTCAATCACTTAAAAAAGGTTTTCAAAAATATATGGCAGCAGGACTTACTTATGTCTCTCATTTTTGATAATGAGGAAAAAATATTCAAACATGTTCACAGCACGTAAAATAACTTTTGTCATATATTACTGACAAAGTTATTCATATAGCTGATTTTAATTTACTATTTATCTTCAAATACATTCTTACTAATAAGCTACTATACTTTTATGACATAGAAGGCCATTATGGTCTTGAAAGTTAGCTAAGATATGAATTTCATCATCATGTAAATGCTGTTGTTGAAGAAAGAAACATACAAAGAAAGAAACTCATCATTTTGAGACAATGTGGTTTAAGAAGACATGAAAAGTAAGAAATGACCATTTCAAAAAGAGGCATACTAGCAGACACTATGATAGGCTATGTCATACTTTCAGATTTTTGGACTTGATTCCCCAGAAGACCAGGCCACATATTCAGTGATCAAGGATTATGACAGTTATAATACAAATACTTGGAAGATATCAACTTGTTAAGAGATCATCAGAGATCTCTCATGTACAGCTACTACTTGAAAATACAAACATGGTTGATGCAGAGATGTGTTATAATTGCCCAACTGCAGTTATGCTGCCTCATCATTGCAGATTGTTGTTCCTGGGAAGGATGAATGAAAAACAACAGCAAAGGTATCATTTTATACTATACAGGAGAAGGAGGCAATGGTAAACCACTCCTAAGTTTTATCGAGAAAACTACAGACAAAATGATTGATGATATAGTACCAAGCCCCTTGGGTTGGATACACTCAATATGCTATAGACTGAAGATTTTCATAGTATCAATATGTTATTGATGTGGCTAGATTAAATCCTTGGGATATCTAGTTGCTGGTATTGCCATGTAGGAAAAGAAAATCTGAAGCTGCAAAAAGAGAATTGTAGTGGGAACATGGTATATAAGAAGCATGAATATGGAAAAAGCTCAACATCGTGAGATATTAAATTTATTGATTATGCATTGATATCTTAGGCATCAATGAACTGAAATGCTGGAATGAGACAATTTCAGTCAGAAAATCATACTATTTAATACTTGAGATGTGAAAAACAATGAATGTATTGCTTTCATAGTCGGGGGAAAATGCCAAAGATAATATTTGCGAACAATGCAATCAATGATTGAATAATATAAATTAGATTCATGGGCAACTTTTTTGTATAATGGTTATCCAAATTTATATTCCAACCACTGACGCAGAAAGAAGTTCAATCTGAAATAGACAGAACATGCAAGCAAGATGTTTTGGTTATGGTTGCAAGCTGAGATTCCAAAATTGAAAATATGAAGAAAAATGTAGTTGGTCTGTACGGCCTAAGAAACAGAAATGAAGCATGAAAATGATGTATCAATCTCTGCCAATTATGTCTTTGTTGCTAACAGTCTTATGAAAACCAAAATAATGCCTATATATATAGTTATCATCAGAGTACACAGAAATCAAGTTGCTTGTATTACTGATACAAGAAGGTAGAAGAGCTCAATTATAGCATCAGAAACATGGTCAGGTGGTGACTGTGGAACAGATCACAAACTGTTCCTGATCCAAGTTAAAGAAGGAAGCCAATGGGTTTCCATCATATGATCTTGAGCATATATCCCACCATTTTCAAGGAGAACATCAGCAATTGCTTTGAAACCCTGAATCTCATATATAGAGAACTAGGTAAACTATGGAATGAAATCAAAGTAGTTGCTCAGGTTAATTGTGAAAAGAGACTTCCAAAAACCAAGGCACCGAAAACAAACAAAAAACTAGATATCAGAACAAATGCTAGAAATTACCAAGAAGAGAGGAGAAGCCAAAGCCAAAAAGATCTCAGAAAGAAATTTAAGAAACAGTATCAGGGAGCTGACAGAAGAGACAAGGAGCAATATTTCAATGACTTTTGTAAAAACCTAAACAATGAAAACAGAAATAAAAGAACAAGGAAAGCTTTCCAAAAGATCTTTGAATTGAGGAAGAGGTGCCAACCCTGAACTTACTTAACTGTGGTGGTAAACCTACGGCATGGTGCCACAGGTGGCACACAGAGCCCTCTCTGTGGGCATGCGCACCATCGCCCCAGTCCTAGGCTTTCAGCTGGGTTTTACAAAACCTTTTCACTTTAGGCCTCTGCTGCCATGTGCAAAAAAAAAAAAAAAGGTTCAATCAATCAATTTCAACTTCTCGCGGGGAAAAAAAAAGATTTTGCAAAGTTGGAATTGATTGATTGAACTTTTCAGTCCCACCCAGTTGGCCACGCCCACCCGGCACCCGACGATACATAAGTGGGTTTTGGGTTGCAGTTTGGGCACTTGGTCTCTAAAAGGTTCGCCATCACTGTGATATAATAAAGGATACCAGTGAACAGATAGTAACTGATTCAAAGACTAAACAAAGATGGAAGGAGGATGCTGAAATTCTATACAGTACAAACAACAAAATCCAAGATCCTTAAAAAATTTCTCTAAGAAATATAAGAATTGTAAGAATAAGAAACATTTATAAGAACTGTAATACCAGAAGGTGAAATTAAATCAGCATTCTGGTTATTACCAAGTTGAAAGTTTACAGAAATTGGAATATCTACACAAATATGGCATGCAACAGAAGAATCAATAAATATGCTAATGAATCTAACTATGTCAGCAAATCTACAGAATTACACAATAATGAATGATTGGAAGAGGTCAGTTTACATACAGTATCAAAGAAATTAGATTTAAAATAATGTGAAAACTATGGTATGATATCCTTAATTTCACATACTAAGAAAATAATACCTAGGATCATCTGATGCAGGTTACAGTGGTACGTGCCAGAGGTTTGAACTGGTTGTAGAAAAGGCTAAAGAGCAAGAGGTATCACAAGAGGTTTTAAAATGTTCTTAAGAAAACAGGAATCCCAGACTATTTCATTGTCCTCGTGCAAAATCTATATACAAGACAGGAAGCCATGGTCAGATGGAAAATAGTGAAGCAGAGTGGTTCCAGATCAGCAAGGGATGTATTCTAGTCTATTCTATTGATTTAATCTATATGCTAAGTATATATTGAAGGAGGCTGGATTTAAAGATGAGCATGTTTTTAAAATAGAGGAAGAAAAGTCAATAATCTGCCATATGCTATGGTATTAATACTATTCTGCTAAATGAAAATATTATTGTGATGAAAATCAAAGACACAGTGAAAAGAATGGGATTATGCTTAAATATAAAGAAGACCGAGCTAATGGCAACAGGTAGTCCAACCACCCTTAAGACTGAAAGTGATCATACAGTGGTCATAACTTCTTTTATGAGGGTCTACAGATAACAGAACTAATAATCAAGAAATACACTGCAAACTGGCACTTGTTAGGGTAGCAATGAAAAGATATTCAGATGCCAAGATGTGTATATGTTTACAAAGATTAGGATTGAGTAGGCATTGGTTTACCATGTCACGCTCTACAGAAGCAGAAGTTCAACTCTGAAGATGCAGGATGGAAAGAATATCAATGCTTTTGAACTTTGATATTGGAGAAGATTCCAGAGAATAGCATGAGCAGCCAAGAAAGCAAAGAGAAAAAAAATCAACCCAAAATTCTCACTTGAGCACAAAGCATCAGACTCAAATTATTGTACTTTGGATGTAAGAAGACCTACCTCTTTTGAGAAGTCTGAAATACTGAGAAAGGTAGAAAGAAAGAGATGGGAATGACAACCCAAAAAATGGATGAACTTGATTGAATGGTGATAATTACACTACTGATAGACCTGAAGGGCCAAGTTGGGAACAGATCATCCTCTATGTGTTCTCTAAGAATCAACATTGATTTGATGGCATATAATCAACTACAGAACTTGGACACTTACTACAAGATATAAAGTCACCATCTAGAAAGGGCAGATGAAATAATGATACCACTGATGTTTAAGAGAAATGGTGCAAGTCCAACAATCTGCAAATTATTCAGGTGAACTCAAACTAAATTCTTTACAACCTGTTTTCCTCCAGCATCTTAGAATATTTAAACACCACTCATAACCTCACATCATTTAAACAAGTGTAGTGAAATAACTCCAAGAAATATTATGCAGCTTCATTTTGCATCCAGATAACAAATCCCAGTTAATTTATACACACAGATGCACAAAGAGCCAATTTAAAGAGATTGTTGCAGAAATGTGATCACATTTTCGAGAGGGAAGCTGACATCAAAATCCGAATGCCCCCAAATCAGTTAAGGGAAGAGATCCGGCAGGAAGAATGAAATGATATAATTTATAATTCTATACGGCCCTAGTACAAATCAGAATCTCTGATTTAAAGACAATAGGGAGTGGCAGAGATAAAACAAAAGCTGCACTTTTCCGGCAACTCTCTCTCCCCTCTCTCAATTTAGATCGAAGGCAGAAAAACACAGATAGACGAGCGAGACAGTAGCTCACCCAACCCACTTTCCGCCGGCCTGTAGATATGCAGTTAGACCGAAAGGGTTTGCTTTGTTCTCGCATAAATCATCCCAAGGAAAGGAGGATCGGCAGGAAAAAACCCCCGCCCCCCCCCAGATCACTTTCTGAAAGAGTTGTTCCTCACCCTGCCCGCCCATTGTGCAGGCGCTTCCGATCTTTCTTCTCCTTCTCCCGCATCTGAAGCAAAACCAAACCGTGACCTTCGCGAGATGAACGAGGCGGGCAACAAGATCCGAGGAGTGCCCGCACTTCTGCCTGCCTGCCTACTAGACCATACTCCCCTAAAGCAGATGCCCCCTCTCTGCTCATCAGCCTTGCACACACGCACATCCAAACAATGCTCCCTTCCCCCTTCCGTCCCGCGCATCTCCTCCCCCCCCCCTCCGGCCGTCGATTTCCCCTCCCCCAAGCACCCAAGTCCTCCACCCATCCATGCAGAAAGTCCATGCAACATGACAGTGCAAGCGCCGGGGAGGGGGTGGGGGGGGGATCGACTACCTGGCGGTGATGGTGGTGGCAGCGGTGCTAACACTGGAGGTGGGTGCAAAGGTATCTGGAGCCCTGCACGACCTGGAAGAGACATTCAGACGAATGGGAGCAACAGACGTATTTAATCCGCGCTGCTCCCGCCGCCGCTGCCTCTGTTGCTCCTGCTGCAACTGCAATGCATGGCTGATGCTTTTCTCCGCCCCTGTGTTGCTGATAAAACTGCAGCTTGGGCTTGGTAAGAATGGAAGCGCTGCTACGCAGGCGCACTTCGCACTGGCTGGAAAGACGGAGCGGACCGGTGACGGGCATGCGCAATAGGCCAGAGTAAAAAAAAAAAACCCTCAGTGAGCATGCGCTTCTTACTCCTGGCGCTTCTAATGATAATCACGCATGTGCTGGCCTGCCTTCGCTTAGTGCACTTGCCCCTCAGACTATAGGAGTTCGGTTGCAAACCTCCCGCTGTGTATTAGGTGGCAGCAGAGGTGCGGGGTTTTTTTTTCGGTCTTTCCCGCTTCCCAATGGTCACATGAATTTTTTTTTTCCGTCGAGATTTACTAACCCCGAATTCCCCGTGTCAAAAATTAGAGTTTTATGGGAGGCTAAAAGAACGAGCGAACCTTTCTACGGTGACGAAATCCGATCAGAACGATAAGGGAGGGGGGATTTTGAAGCACGGCTGGAGCGATGATCTCAGCGCGTGGAATGCGCATGCGTTAATGAGACGTGCGCCTTAATGGTGTATAGGGCAAAGCGGACTGCTGCATACCTTCATTAGTACTCTTACGCGGGGGGGGGGGTTGCGTGAAGGCGGAAGGGTGCTTAGTAAATGGAGGCGAACAGCGTGGCTAGCTTTCCTTCCGGGGTTAAAGGTTATGAAAAGGCACCAAGAAGGCGGGGCGCGCTTATAGTAGTCCGTACTTGAGGTTATCATACGTTCATTTTATAAACCGCCTAATGATTTGAAATTTGAATTACGGGCAAAACTTGTTTTCAACGTCAGGCCTATTTTATTGTCGCTGCCTTAAAAGTATTCGAGAAATGAAAAGAGTTGTACCATGTAATATTTTTTTTTGTGTTTGCTCATCCATAAATTCCATAATTACAAGGGTATTTTCGAATGCATACCAGAATAGAATAACAGAATTGGAAGGGACCTTGGAGGTCTTCTAGTCCAACCCCCTGCTCAAGCAGGAAATCCTATACAATTTTAGACAAATGGTTGTTCAGTCTCTTCTTTAAAACCTCCAGTGTTGAAGCACCCACAACTTCTGAAGGCAAGTCGTTCTACTGATTGTGCTAACTATCAGGAAATTTTTCCTTCATTCTAGGTTGGATGAGAAATAAAATGATTAAAGAGAAAGCTTTTTTAAAAAAACAAAAAAAACCGATGCACCAGAAACATAATTAAAATAATTCTATCACTACAAAAAAAGAGAAAGCAAGATACATTAAGGTTATACTGTTTATGGAAATTTTAGGTTAGCAAAACATTATAGAAACACTAAATTTGAAAAGGATTTTAAAAAAGACAAACATGATTTCCAATCCACTGTGAACTCTACCCAGACCCTTACACGATATATACTTCTATTTAGGATATGTTCTTATGCCAAGAAAGTTCCTTCAAATGACTAAAATTAGACTTGCCACTTACCACGTGTTATACTTCTATAATATTCATGTAACTTTCTTGATTAATGTTTAGTTTTCCCATCAGGCAAAAACTTGGGGACATGGGATTTTATTACTAGATTATATCAAAAGGAACAAGAGAATCTGACCTAGTCTGACCTATCAAGAAGGGAAAATGCATGATCTTCCAAGAGCTATTGAATTCCAATTCCCTTCAAAGAGCCAGTTCGGTGTAGTAGTTCAGGTGATGGCCTAGAAAGCAGGAGAAGCCTCCCCTAGGCAAGAAAGCCAGCTGGATGAATAGGGTCAGTGGGGAAGGTTGCAAGCAGAAAGGACATTAGATTTGAGATTTTGAGGATTTCCATGCAGGGAGGGGAAATACTGCATGCTGAAGGAATGGACCTCAAATCTAGCAAAAACATTAGCAAACACCAGCATTCTGTAAGGCTCAAAAGACTGGGATTCACTAACATTTCCCCCTTGTTGAGTTAAATATTATTATACTGTTTCAACAGTCCCAAGGCAAAAGAGTGGTTTGGTTGAGTAGAAAGTTTTGCAGAGTTCATCCAAGCAGTTTGATGAAGAACATGCAAGATTGGACTGCATAGCCTTATGAAATGGCAATCTGTAATTGTTTGACTTCCTTTAAAATTAAATAGCAGGGCTTAGTTGTTTGGAGAAGAGGGACTTTAGATGTATTGCTTCTAAATCCTGCCTTGATAGTATCGTTGCTCTAACTTAAGATGGTGAATATGACATCCTTCATAGTTAATGCAAAATTAATTTAACACCTGAAGGCAGCAGGCTAGCTGAGAAGGTACAAATCAAAAGGGAGATCACATGCATACATCTACTCTCCAACATCTCTTCACTGCTTCCTGATGAAATCTCATCCATTTCTTTATCTAATGCTAGATTTGATCTGGAACTTTTCACACAAGTAGACTAGTTAGAAATGTTTCATTTTCTCTACGGACAATATTTGCCTAAATTGTTTTCATACTTTTTCTCATTTTAAATGGCATCAACTTTGACTTTCCAAAATATCTTTCCTTTCTTTTCTCTTCCTTCTTTCCTTCCTTCCTTCTTTCCTTCCTTTCTTTTCTCTTCCTTCTTTCCTTCCTTCTTTCCTTCCTTCCTTCCTCCCTCCCTCCCTATGGGAATTTTCATACAGCAACCAGTTTCATATACCTATTCTCAAACAGTCATTTTCAAATGTGCTTGCTCACTCTCCATGAGGCAACCAGTGCTCCATTCAGCTGACCAGTGGGAGAGCACAAAAATCAGCAGCCAGTTAACATTCCACCACTATCTCCTCTTCCTTGTTGCAAGTGGAAAGCTGGTCACAATAAGAAGTAACTACAAAATCCTTCCGTATTAAGCATCTCATGTCATTATACCTTTTTATTATGGCAGTTTCTAGTTGCCAGGTGCAAGAAACTGATTATTGCATTAGGCAACACAGAAGTGGATTTCAGTTTACATTAATGACTAGGACTTGATTCTACAATAGATAGCAGTTGTATGACTATAATTCATTCCAATTCCCAAGACATGCGATTCTTCCTTTTTTTTAAAGTTCTTGAAGGAGAAATTAGAGGGGCTTATAACCTTCAGGAGCAGAGAAAAGCTTTGCTGACATGTCATTCTCTTAGATTAAATAACTGCAGCTTTTTTCACTCAGCTGGATACACAATAACAGTACAAAAAAAAGTGTTTTTTTTTCTCTCACCTAAAATTTTTAGGTTACTAGTGAGGTAATGTTCTTGTGTCTTCAACTGCATTGGAGAAATATTTAGGAAAGTTGTTTTTTACACTGGCATGTAAGAAGATGCAAAGTTTTCCCTTCTGAGCTTATAGTAGTGGAATTGTATAGAAGTCTTATCTTCTCCAAAAATTAAAAGATATAGCTTCGTCCGTAGAGTCCTTGGTGTATTGCTTGTTACAAATAGAACATTTGAACAGTTTGGTCCAAATACATTTTTTGAAGGATTCCATTTTATCCTGAGTTTTTATTATAATACAAGTAGTCCTCGACTTACAACTATTCATTTAGTGACTGTTCAAAGTTAAACGTCACTGATAAAAGTGACCAATGACCATTTTTCTCATGATCAATGCAGCATCCCCATGATCACATGATCATAGCCATCTTAAAATGGTGTTAGAGTGGATTGCATAAATGTGGAATCTAGACAAGTACAGTTCATTCAGCAATGTGATTAACAACAATGAACCCAGCTATTATCTCCTGTCAGCAGCTAACTAGATTTAAAAACTCTCCCTGGCTTCAGGCAAGTCTTTAAATAATAAGTAAATGGAAGCTGTTTTACAAGCTCCATGTATTTATGGGAGGGGAGAAATGAATGGGAAGGAAATGCTTTTCTCACTAATCTCTGATCCTTCCCTCAAAAATAAAAAACCCTCTTATTGCATCAGAAATAGCTTCAAGTGATTCCTTTAGAAATTAACTTGAAGTTTTGCCAATGAATAGGAATGTGACGAGAGTATGGCTGGATTTACACATTATCAGCTCTGGGTAATTAACCATAATTAACTAAATAAGACATAATTGATAGGGTTCATAAAACACGCTAAAACCAAGACTAAGCAATCTACTTACAGCTTGACATAACCTATGAACCCAATAGGTAGCCTTGGCAAGCTCATTATTGTGATTTCCCTCCTTATTCGGGGTGTACCCTGTCATATGGCGTTCTGCAGCTTTCAACATGCTTACTTATCTGAACCCTTAGACCAGCGGTACTCAACGTTTGTGTGACGGTGACCCCGTCACACAAACGTTATGCGCATGCGCGGCGTGGCGCGCATGCGTGGCGGCGCCCCCACGTGTGGTGCGCATGGGGGCGGGGCCCTGCGCGGTGCGCATGCATGGCGCCACCCCGGAGGTGCGGCGGCGCCCCCATGCGTGGCGCGCATGCGCGGCGGCGCCCCCCGGAGGCGCGCCGCCACCCCCACGCGCGGCGTGCATGCGCGGTGGCGCCCCCGGAGGCGCGCCGCCGCCCCCACGCGCGGCGCGCATGCGCAGCACCACCCCCCCAGAGGCGCGGCGCGCCCCCGGAGGGGACAAAATGGCGGATCGCCGCGTTTGGCGACCCCACAAAAGAGGTCGATCGACCCCAAATGGGGTCGCGACCCATAGGTTGAGAACCGCTGCCTTAGACCCAAAGAGATTTCCCATCACTGTTTTTCAAAAATGTCCAGAGTTTTAATAGTTTGAAAAATAATAATAATGATGATGATGTTGGAAGGGACCTTTCCTGCTCAGGCAGGAAACCCTATACCATTTCAGACAAATGGCTGTCCAGTCTCTTCTTAAAAACTTCCAGTGTTGGAGCATTCACAGCTTCTGGAGGCAGGTTGTTCCACTGGTTAATTGTTCTGTCAGGAAGTTTCTCCTTAGTTCAAGGTTGCTTCTCTCCTTGATTAGTTTCCATCCGCTGCTTCTTGTCCTGCCTTCAGGTGCTTTGGAGAATAGCGTGACTCCCTCTCCTTTGTGGCAGCCCTTGAGATATTGGAACACTGCTATCATGTTCCCCCTCGTCCTTCACTTCATTAAACTAGACATAGCCAATTCCAGCAACTATTCCTTATATGTTTTAGCCTCCAGTCCCCTAATC